TTGTCAGGTCCACCCACCGCAGCAGATATGTCTTGCATGTCGCACTGGGCGTTCCGAAAATAACGGCGCACCGTGCAGCAATTTGTTGCGGTGGGGGGATGCGGGGTAAGCCCGCTATAAAAGGAACAAAGATTGCATCGGTGAGAGCTGCGCGTATTGCAGCGAAAATCTCGTGTCATCTCTTGTACTCTCGTTCCTAGGTCTTAGCGTTCGCGGTCACCACCGGCCGGCGTCGCGAACTCGCCGGCGTCGATCTTCGACGGCTGGTTCCAACACGTGGTATCAGAGCCGAGGGGAGAGGTATACGGTGGATCCAGTGGTCCATCGAGAGAGAGAGTGAACCGAGGGAGAGATCACAAGCCCCGCCGCAAAATCACCGTCGGCCGCCATGGGCGACACATCCACCAAGTCTACCGTGAAGGAGAGTTCCCTCATGTGGCCAATGCTCACGAGCGACAACTACACCGAGTGGGCCATGTTGATGCAGTGCAATTACGAAGCACTTGAAATCTGGGAAGTGATCACCCCGGGTGACAAGCCGAAGCGTGCACAAGATCGACAGGCCATGAGTGCGCTCCTGCGCTCGGTCCCGAAGGAGATGTGGCAGACGTTGGGAAGGAAGAATACGGTGAAAGAAGCGTGGGAGGCTGTGAAGACGATGCGTGTGGGCGCAGATCGCGTCAAGGAGGTGAATGCCCAAAAGCTCCTAAAAGAATTTGAGAACATTCAGTTCAAGGAGGGGGAGTCTGTCGACGATTTCGGCATGAGAATTACCAATCTGGTGGGTAATCTCAAGACGCTGGGCGAGACGATCGACGATCTCCGGGTTGTGAAGAAGTTTCTGCGCGTGGCGCCATCACGGTTCACACAGATCGTGGTGTCCATCGAGATGTTCGTCGACCTCAAGACCCTGACAGTTGAAGAGCTGGTCGGTCGGTTGAGGGCGGCGGAGGAGCGGTTTGACGACAAGATCGATCAGATCGTAGACAAGGCAGGGCGGCTGCTACTGGCCGAAGATGATTGGCGGGAGAAGCACAAGCATCGTTTTCACCCCGGCAACAAGGCTGGAGGGAGCGGTGGTGGCGGTGTCTCCTCCAAGGGCAAGGCAGCAGCGCGCTCTGACGGCGGCGCCACAGGTCAGGTAAAACTGACGTCCATGGGCACGCCAAGGAGGAAAGGCCGATGCCACAATTGCGGCATCTACGGTCATTGGGCGGAGGACTGCAAACGCCCGAAGAAGGAGAAGAAGGAGGTGGCGCAGCCGGAGGCGAACGTGGTTGCCGGCGGCGCTGACCACTCTGGCGCTTTGATGTTGGCAAAATGCGACATCGAACAGGAGACGTCCCAGATTCATCTCACTGAGAAGGTAACACCTGTGCTTGTTCCCGATGGCGTGTGGGTATTGGATACCGGCGCTAGTAATCATATGACAGGGAATAGATCAGTGCTGTCACAGCTTGAATGAGGGTGTTAAAGGCTCAGTAAGGTTTGGGGATGGCTCTAGGGTTAGAATCCAAGGTATGGGTTCAGTGGTGATTCAAGATCGTCAAAAGGGTCACAAGGTCCTCACTGATGTGTATTTCATTCCTGAACTGAAAAGTAACATTGTTAGTTTGGGACAGTTGGAAGAAAAGGGGTTCAAATATGTTGGGGAGAATGGGAGATTGTGTGTGTATGATCGGGAGAAAACACTTTGCTAATCTCTCGCACCTAGAGTTGGGAAATGCATTATATCTAGCTAAGTTTGGGTTAGACTCACCAGGTTTGTCTACAAGCTCAAGTCGATGATGTTTCTGGAGGTGGCATGCTAGATTTGGGCATTTGCATTTCAAAGCCCTCGAGTGATCTAAAATCGAAAAACATGGTCACCGGTTTGCCAACAATAATAAGGGTAGAGAAAGTCAGTGATGGGTGTGCTCTTGAAAACTACATAGATCTCCATTTCCAAAAGTGTCTAGCTATAGGGCAGAAAAAGGCTTAGAACTTGTGCATGCAGACTTGTGTGGGCATATCTCTCCAAAGTCTTTGGGGGGAGCATCCTATTTTTTTCTGGTGGTTGATGATCACAGCAGATATATGTGGGTGGAATTGCTGAAGAGCAAGGATCAGGCTCTGGAATGTTTTAAGAAAATAAAGAACAGGGCTGAGGTTGAATGTGATGGCAAGCTGAAGGCATTGAGAACAGATCGGGGGGGAGAGTTCAATTCCAATCTATTCTCAATTTTCTGCAGTGAAGGTGGGATAAAGCATTACACTACTACTCCCTACACTCCTCAACAAAATGGGGTGGTAGAAAGGAGAAATCAGAGTGTAGTTGAGATGGCGAGATGCTTGTTGAAGACAATGGCACTACCTTCTGAATTTTGGGGTGAAGCTATATGTACTGCAGTGTATGTGTTGAACAGGTGTCCTACAAAGAGCCTGAACAACATGACCCCATATGAAGCTTGGCATGGAAGAAAACCCAACGTGAAGCACATGAGGATTTTTGGGTGTGTTGCATATGTGAAGTTGGTTGGACCTGGTCTGACAAAGCTATCTGACAGATCAGCCAAGATGATTTTCATTGGCTATGAAAGTGGAACCAAGGGCTATAGATTCTATAATCCTGCTACTGGCAAGCTAGTGGTTGGGAGAGATGCCATGTTTGATGAAAATGTGTCATGGGACTGGGCCAATGCAGCAGGCAACACAGATCAGCTGTCAGGAGAGTTTGTTGTTCATTATGAAGACTCTGACAGTAATCCGACAATAGGAGATCCTGAACCTGCAGAACAGTTAGCCGAAGATGCAATTCTAGGAGATCAAGGGGGTGCTGCTGATTCTGATCAAGCTGCACCTGGCACACCCATCACACCACAGCCGGGTGTTGCACAAGGGCATGGTTGGGTCACACCTCCGAGCCAGGATTCAACTTTTTCTGACCAAGGGCCACACAGATACAGGCTAATGTCAGAACTGCTGGATTCAACTGATGAAGTGCAGGACTATGAGTATAGTGGTATGTGTTTACTGGCAGCAGATGAACCTGCTAGTGTTGAGGCAGCTCTTGAAGAAAGTTGTTGGAGGGATGCAATGATAGCTGAATTGAAGTCTATAGAACAGAACAAGACTTGGGCTTATGTTGATTTGTCCAAGGATCATAAGGCTATAGGCCTTAAATGGGTGTTTAAGGTGAAGAAAGATCCATCTGGCAAGATTGTCAAACACAAAGCTAGACTGGTGGTGAAGGGATATGCCCAAGTTCAGGGAGTTGACTATGATGAGGTGTTTGCTCCAGTTGCAAGGATGGAAACAGTTAGGCTGTTGTTGGCTCTTGCAGCACAGGGTGAATGGCAAGTGCATCATATGGATGTAAAGTCGGCTTTCTTGAATGGCAATCTGGAAGAAGAGGTGTATGTTCACCCACCACCTGGATTCTCTGATCCTAAATACTCAGGGAAGGTTCTAAGACTCAAGAAAGCATTGTATGGCCTCAAACAGGCTCCCAGAGCCTGGAATGCAAGACTTGATCAAGAGTTGAAGGTGTTGGGTTTCAATAGGAGTGCTGAAGAGCATGCTGTGTACAGAAGAGGTACAGGCAACTCTCTGATCCTAGTTGGAGTCTATGTTGATGATCTGATCATCTGTGGGCCAGACAGCAAGAACATTGTTGAATTTAAGCAGCAGATGAAGAAGAGTTTTGACATGAGTGACCTTGGGCTGTTGACTTACTATTTGGGTCTGGAGGTGAAGCAGAAGCCAGGGGAAATCACTGTGTGTCAGAGTGCTTATGCTGAAAAGATTGTTGAGATCTCAGGAATGAAAGGGTGTAACCCTGTTGACACACCAATGGAACAGCATATCAAGCTGTTGCCGGGCAAGCCAGAGCTGGTAGCTAATGCAACAAAGTACAGGAGCTTAGTTGGGAGTTTGAGGTATTTGGTGAACTCAAGGCCTGATCTTGCTTATTCTGTGGGCATGATTAGCAGATTCATGGAGACACCGAACTCTGAACATTGGGGGGCAATGAAGAGAATCATTAGATATGTTGCAGGTACCACCAAGCTTGGTTGCAAGTATGTCAAAGGAGCACATTCAGACTTGGTTGGGTTCACTGACAGTGATCACGCAGGTGATCTGGAGAAGAGGAAAAGCACATCAGGGGTGTTGTTCTTCTATGGTGGCAATGCAGTTTCTTGGAGTTCACAGAAGCAAAAGGTGGTGTCTTTATCATCTTGTGAATCTGAGTACATAGCTGCAGCTACAGGAGCCTGTCAGGGAGTGTGGCTTAGCAGATTGGTGGCAGACATAACCTGTAGTGATGTGAAGAAGTTCAAGCTTTTCATTGACAACAGGTCTGCCGAGGAGCTGAGCAAGAACCCAGTGTTTCATGAGAGATCGAAGCATATAGACACCAGGTATCACTACATCAGGGAATGTGTTGCTGATGGGGTGGTGGAGGTGCAGCATATAAGCACTGAAGATCAGCTCGCCGACGTACTGACAAAACCACTTGCGAGGATTCGGTTTGCAGAGATGCGAAGGCAGCTAGGTGTGGTTAGCATTTGACAGATTAAGGGGGTGAAATGTTGCTTTGATCTCTTTGTAATCGTGTCAAATGAACACGTATCTCATTTAGGTGCATGTAGGTAGTTTGTTTTAGTAACAAACCATATTTGATTGGCGTAGAATCGCGGGTGAGCTGGAGATTGCCCAGCCTCACGCCGTGACCGCATTGTCAGGTCCACCCACCGCAACAGATATGTCTTGCATGTCGCACTGGGCGTTCCGAAAATAACGGCGCACCGTGCAGCAATTTGTTGCGGTGGGGGGATGCGGGGTAAGCCCGCTATAAAAGGAACAAAGATTGCATCGGTGAGAGCTGCGCGTATTGCAGCGAAAATCTCGTGTCATCTCTTGTACTCTCGTTCCTAGGTCTTAGCGTTCGCGGTCACCACCGGCCGGCGTCGCGAACTCGCCGGCGTCGATCTTCGACGGCTGGTTCCAACAGCTCAACCATGGCGCTGGTGGGCGACCTAGAGCTTCGTCCCCAGGAGACCTCGGCGGTTGGGGCTGCGAATAGCACCATGGATGAGGCACGCCTCTTGGCACACACCGTGGTGGCGTGCTTGTGCCGGGACAAAGACGACACCGACCCGGAGCAAGTCAAGAGGGCTGTCTATTCATGGCTGGGCGTTTGGGAGGTCGACATCAAGGTGGTTCGCCACAAGCCGGAGGACTTCCTCATTGAGTTCGAGCGCCCACACCATCGTGACACGGCGCTGGATCTGCGTCGCCTCCCGGTAGGCAACATCGACATCAGGATCATGCCTTGGCGCGTCCTCCCCTACGGCGACCACTACGACCTTCGGCACCCCGTCACCACCACGCAAGGTTCCTCCTTCCCCTAACCGTTTGCTGATGTGCAGGGACTCCTTACTTCCCGTCACAGAAGATGGCCGAGCAGAGACGCCCGACGAAGCCCCACTGCGTGTCGCGCCTTCGTCAGCCCCTGTGCCGTCAACTACACATCCGTGGCCCACTGCGGTCGGGTGCTCCCCTCCGCGACAACGGCTGCAACGTCGGCTAGGCCAGCCCAGGCGCACGGCCAGCATGCTGCTCCATCAGCCACCCAGGAAGGAACGCGTGACCAGGAAGAGCAGGGCGGCACAGAGACCTTCGTGTCCGTACCGTCTCGCACCCTCTTCCTCCGGCGCTTCTGCGAGCCCTCCCCCTCCCCCACCCCCACCCCCACCCCACCCCACGCAATCCTCACTGCTCCACAAAAGGGAAACACTGCCGGTTCAAAAAGGCCTATCACTGTCGAACTTTGCAACCGGCACAAGCTAAACGGCAATGATGCCTCTGGCTATCTGTGCCGGTACCTCATCTGGCAGTCATAGGCTTTACAAAAAAGGAATACAGAGCATGCTCGTTACCGCTGCCACCACCGTCACCGCCATGCTCGCTAGCTGCCGCTGCCACCACCGCCACCGCCATGCTCGCTGGCTGCCGCTGCCGATCCATCAAGCAGTTCATCCAAAAAAACAACTCATACATCTCAGACAAAGGTGGGATTCAACAGATGACAAATCATCTCATCCACAAATTGTCACACCCGATTTTAAGGATAAAATGGGATGCAAAATCTCATATGCGTCCAGAGATCAGTCACACACATAAGCCGACAAATTATGAATAGTATAATCACAAGTGTTTATTACATCACGAATAATAGACATAGTCTTCACATAAGTATAGCGGAAGTATAAAGAAAAGATCTTTTGCGGAAGCTCCATATCACAGAGACGTCGACTGGTGACCACAAGTCTAGTATTTCTCAGAAAAATCGTCATTACCATAGCCATCTGTTACCCATCCGAGATTTTTATCCAAATAATAAAAATAAACAAGCGTAAGTACATGTCGTACTTAACAAGTGTAACATGGGGTTCATAAGGCTCAAAAGGCTTTACACAGGTTTAACAGCATTCAGCTTTTAGTTGTCACAATTTTAGCATAAGAGTATCAACAAATTGGTTTCAATCCCAAAGTAAAACACATGATCAATGTAAACATGAATAATGAATAGCATAAACGAATAAGTATTAGTGATCACTGTCGATGCGGGACCCACAGGATACCCCGCAAGAGAGAGAAGATCTAGTTCAACTAGGATTCTTCCCATGTAATCTTAGTAATAGAACTATTAAGTAATCCTACTAGGAAATCTCATTGTAAACCGACTAGGACTCTGGCCTCCTGACTATATAAAGGAGGGCAGGGCTCCTGAAAGAAGGAGAACAATGGTACAACATAACACTTCATAATCAATCCAACGCAAAAGGCAAACGCTGACTGGACGTAGGGTCGTTACTCGATCTACGATCGAGGGCCTGAACCAGGATAAATCGACTATCTCTTGTGTTTACCATCGAGTTCAGCATACGCCGAAGCCCGAACGACATCGCCACGGCACCCACAGCAGCGTGCTATCGGTGGTAAAACATCGGCAGCTGGCGCGCCAGGTAGGGGCCTTCGGCGACTTTGCATCCGAGACCTCGATGGACCTCGATAACATGATCTTCCCGACAGGATCGATTTTCATCTTCGGCTCGTGGATCTACGAGGCGGACAACAACGGCAAGCTTCAAAGTCATCTCCTCAAAGATCCGGATCATCATGAAGAATCCTCTATTTCGACAACTACGACGGATCAGCTCATCAGAAGATTCGCGCAGCCCATAATACCCGATTCGAATAAGATTCCACGGCTACACGGATCCGACTCGGATTCAAGCTCCGTATCCGAGATGAAGTCCAATTCGAGTGCTTTCAAGAAGTCGAGTTCCTTTTTGGCAAGATTCCAGAGCACAACCCAAAACAACTCGGATTACCCTCAGAATTCTTTCAAAAAGCCGAGTTCTTTTCCATTTAGGCTCGACAACACGACAAAATCCTATCAGGGACAGTTTGAAAGGTCTTTCAAATCAACACTTGGAATACCACTGACAGGAGCTCGGAGGGTCTCAGTACTAACGATAACATCGTAAGATCAGATCATCCATCGCCGAGATCCGCCTCGAGGTTAGCGGAACCCAACTAGTCGGCACAACAACAACAACAAATTTATTCTACCTTACCAAGAGGGAGACTCAATCTACGACGTCGAGGCGCGATATCAAGTCATCAAAGAACTCTGACAAAGATGAAAACTAACAACAATAATCTAACGGCTCACGCACGGGAAGTGCTCATGGTTCGACATCCTCGGTCACCATTAAACCCCCGAAGCACCCGATGTCGGTCATCGATGAATCGAGAATCCAACATATCACCCTTTGCTCGTGGCTATGATGGAGAAACCGAGAGTCGAGACAAAAGCTAGAGAAAGGAAAAACAAGTTGAAACAAGGGCGCCAAAGACAAGCGCTCGACAAACAAGAGAGAAGCTCGGACCAGATCTGAGTCGAATTGGTGAATACGACAAAAGAAAATCACAACAAGAGGATTTAAGAGAGACGCATAAAGAGTACGCCTTTATGATAAGATTCGAGAAGCATTAGAAGAACTCGTGGCAACTTCACATCACGGAGAGAAGTACGAACAGCTCCAGGACTTGCTCCGGTCAACGATCCCAAGAACGCATGAAGAGAGAACCCGATCAAGACTACCCGCCAGATCAACAACCCGCAGGCAAGAAGATCAAAATCAAAGGAAGTCCGCTTTTGAAAGACTTGGACCAGGCGGAAGCCATAACGGAGAAAGTAGGAGGGAACATAGTCGGGGCCATCAATTTGAACAACCAAGGAAGACCAGGAGTAGAGGGCCTACCCAGACAGCCTCGCAGAATTATTCCCATCAAAACAACACTTGGCCAGAAGAAGGAGCCGAATCCGAATTCAAGGAAGCCGGAACGCATGACAGATTCCCCTGTTTTGCAAACAGGTTGGCATCAGTACGATTACCTCACAAATTCAAACCGTCTAATCACTCCAAGTATGATGGCAAAACCGAACCAAGACAATGGCTCAGAATATATTCACAATCAATTGAACTAGCCGGAGGAGACGATGATATCAAAACCTTGTTCTTTCCCATGGCACTGGAAGCGATGCCCCTCCAATGGTTCGATAAATTGAACCCAGGATCGATCAGAACTTGGGAAGACTTGCAAAGAGCTTTCTGTGAAAATTTCGCAGGTATCATCACACACCCGATCACTCATGCCGAACTGAAAGGACTCAAACAAAAGGGGGGCGAAAGTCTCAGAAATTACTATCGGCGATTCGGTGAACTACGGGCTCAAGTGCATGACATCACCGAACGAGAAGTAATTGAAGCTTTCTCTCACGGAATCATGGCTAGGTGGCAATTTCAAGACTTCTGCAAAGAAAATCCGAGAAACAATGAAGAATTCAGACGAACAGTAGAAAAAATGATTACTGCAGAAGAAAAAACACGAGAAAGGTTCCCGGATAGAAGCAACCAAGACAACCCGGATAGGCAAAATCATCGAAATAGCAGACATCAAGAAAGAAAGCGTAGACCAGACAATACCGTGGCAATGGCCGACAAATCAAAGAAGTTTTCCAAACCCAGAAGATATGATGACATTGAAAACATACGTTGCCCGTTACACCCTAACGGGAGACACACCATCGGAAACTGCTACACTTTCAATGATCGATACACGAGAAAAGACAGTAAGGAGAACACCAAAGAGGATAATCACAAGAAAGATGAAGACAACCACGAGGACAAGGGATTTCAAAAACCCAGGGGAACGGTAGCAGTGATCTTCTCAGGGGCCCCAGATTGCACAAGCAAACGTCAAGAAAAACTAGCACTACGGACTATCATGACGGCAGAACCGGCTACACCAAGATATCTCAATTGGTCACAATATCCAATCCAATTTTCAAGAGAAGACCAATGGACTAGCGTAGGGAACGCAGGCCATTACCCACTAGTCTTAGACCCAACTATTGCCGGTATGACTGTCACCAAAGTACTAATTGATGGGGGAGCTGGACTCAACATCATCTTTTCAGAAACACTAAGGAAGATGGGACTACAACTCGCTGGGATGATTACACCAACAAGCACCCCCTTTTACGGAATAGTACCCGACAAAGCAGCCATGCCACTCGGACAAGTTACTTTACCCGTCACTTTTGGAACTCCTGCGAACTATCGAACAGAGTTTATCAAATTTGAGGTCACAGACTTCGATTCGTCATATCATGCGATCCTCGGATGCCCAGCACTGGCAAAATTCATGGCAATACCACATTATCCGTACTTATTGCTTAAGATGCCAGGACCCAACGGTATCCTTTCTCTTCGAAGCGATTTGAAGCGTGCTTTTGACTGCGACGTTCAGGCAATCTAAATTGCGGCAAAAGCACAAGCCGACAATGGGAGAAAACAAATAGCCACAATTGCTGCGGAGATAAGCCAAGAAGAATTAGAAATACCGGCTAAAAAACCCAGCATCATCACACCACCAAAAGAAGCCGACGCTCAAGCAAATCGATTTGGGCAATCGGCGATACCTCCAAGACAAAGAACCATCGGTGCTCACCTCTCGGCAAAATAGAATCAAGAACTCGCGCTCACCAACTTTCTTCGGGACAACAAAGATATCTTCGCCTGGAAGCCGGCCGACATGCCAGGTGTCCCAAGAGAGTTGGCTGAGCACATAATTGATGTTAATGAAAACTCCAAGCCTATAAAGCAACGGCTACGACGATTCTCACCCGACAAAAAGGCAGCGATTAAAAAAGAAATCACAAAACTGATGGCAGCCGGAATCATCAGAGAAATCCTTCATCCGGACTGGCTAGCAAACCCGGTCCTTGTGCAAAAGAAGAACATGTACGAGTGGCGAGCAAAGGCCGACTACACGG